GGGTCAAGAATGGGCCCAGAAGGATACCATCACCTCCCAGGCCCTGACCCCCAGGGCCCATAAGAAAAATCAAGGCAGACACAGTCAATGTGGTACCTAGATCTTCCTACACCTGTCTGGAGAACCACCTACCCTCTGCCTCTCTCTCTAAACCTCCTGTGTACACAGCAAGGGAGGAGTTTACATTCTAATCCAGAGACATTCCATCTAGCAGTGTGGGGGATATTCTGGTAACTGCAGACTGTTTCTGCTCACAGGGAATCCAGATCATCCCATTGCAGTCTAGGAAAAGCTCCACTCTCAAGTGCTACAAATAAAAATGAAGCTGGTTCTCCATGTGGGCCAGTTTAAACAAAAACAAAAACAAAGCCTAACCGTATCTCAAGCCAGGGTCCCTGCAATCCAGGCCTACTTATTATACCTGAAATCACAAGGACTAGCCTCAGCTTCCCTCAAGGTGTGTTTAGCTGCCATTTCAGCCCACCGGAGGCATATTAAAGATGGGCCTACATGCTCTGCTTTTAGGTCTCTGAAAACCATTCTTTCTACAAAGGAGCCTCCTCTGTCCTTGGATTTAAACTCGTACTGACCAAACTCATAGGCTCTCTCTTTGAGCCTCTTAGGAAAGTATTTTAGAGCAACGCTCTATAAAGGCAGCCTTCCTTATAGCCATCAATTCCACAAGAAGGGCTAGTGAACTCCACCCACTCGTGGCCACACCACACTATACCATAGCTCATAGGGACAAGGTGACTCTGAGGCCACACCCTAATTTTATGCCCAAGGTGATGTCAGACTTCATCTTGTCCAATACATCTCTCTTCTGGAGTTCTCTCTACACCCTCACTTCCACTGCCAGGAAACACCTCTGCACACTCTCTAGATGTTAAAATGACACTGCTTTTACCTGAAGAAAATCAAACCCTTTTAAAAAACCCAGCAGACTATTCATAGTCTATGGGGAAAGATACCAGGGAGAACCTATTTCCAAGCAGAGACAGTCACATTGAATAAAAAGACATATCTTAGGTAACCCTGTAGAGACTGCGGTTCCACCAGAGCCACTGCTGCACCTGTAGCATGTCTGACATATTCCTATTATGCAGCTATGCAAAGTAGTAACATGAAATTCAATGCATATTTTTACCAAGTACTGTTCCTTAAACTTGGTATCCTATTCTGACACCTAATTTGTAAGAGGGCTGCTACAGTTCAAGACCACTTTACCCCCCTTCTATCCAAGGGGCACGGCTTGCTAGTTTCCTATGAGTGGTTATGCACACCAGCCTTCAAAAAAGAATGGAAGATTGCTCACAAGGAACTTTTGATCTTCAAGTATTGCCCCTATGCAGATCTACTGGCTAAGTCATGTGAAAACTATTAACTGCCTAGGCTTCACTAGGATTTTACCTCTTTGGTTAACTCAAATGCACCTCATTCCCTAGGGAAGGCAAGACCTCTGCGTTCTACTCTGTTATTTCTCTGTCCTGATGAGTGTTCACTCCCAGTTCAAATCATCTGTGAATTCCTTTGAGGTGCTGTTTAGACCTCTTCCAGATTGTTAAAGATTTTAAATAATAGATGACCCAACACTGATTCTTCTGACACCCTTAACTTTTCTTTTGCCTTTTTGTGGTTTTCTGTATGTGTATCTACTGCAATTTTAACTCTCATACAACATAGTGTTTTTGTGTACTACTGAGTCTCAAAGATTTTGTATGTTTCCACCATGCATGAAAGAGAGAAGGGTTTTGATTCCACTAATAAGGTATACAGGCCAAGGATGTGCTTGAGTTTTGTAGAAAATAATTATTTCAGTGGTATAGATAGAATGATAAACTACAAAGTCACTGAATGAGAACCAAACCTTAAACTTGTTCCCACTAAATGAATGATAAAACTTCCATTGTCCTCAGTAGTGCAGGATTGGGGCCTGAAAGTGATTTTGGAAAATATGTATTTATATTTCTATTGGACAAGCGGCATAGTCTCACATCATGAAAAATAAGATTTCACCAACTAATTCTTATTAGTTAAAAACTGTTTGAATCAAGAGAACATAAGAACATAAGAATGGCCCTACTGGGTCAGACCAAAGGTCCATCTAGCCCAGTATCTTGTCTTTCGACAGTGGCCACTGCCAGGTGCCCCAGAGGGAACGAACAGAACAGGTAAGAGGGGAGAGGTGGTGTTAAAAAGTGTTGAACTTGTGCTAATGAGAGCAAAAATGAACAAAGAGCACAGATTAATGGGCACACAAGATTAGATTTCGCAAGTCTAATACATTTTGCATCTACGATTTGCAGTGGGAGGGTACAAGCTAAGTGCATATGCACAAAACCATATTTGTTTTAGTTGCACTGTTATTCAATCGCACTTGTGAAAGTAATTTAACTTCAGTGTGTGCTCAACGTCAGATGTCATAACCCCTAACTGCACTTAAAATTCATTTTTTTGAAAATCTAACCCTGACTGTTGTAAGGAAAAGGCTCTCCCCGGTCCTCTTCAGCAACCTGAGGGATTAGGATGATCTCAGTAGCAGACTCTAGATTGTACTTTGCCTCATTAACCACATTTTGAAACTCACCATCCTGCTTTGCCAGGAATTAAGTTACATGATTTAAAATTAACATAAGAGTTTAGTATAATTGAATTGGGACTGTGATTTTTGACTTGTGGGATTACAATAGATAAAGGACTAATTTGCAGATAACCTCTATTTTTAAAAGTAAATTTTAAAAGGTCACAGGGAGTCTGGGTTGTAAATCAGCTGATGTTTAGAAAGATCAGTAAGCGAAATCATAAATTGAAGGTCGTCCAATATAATCTATATAAAAACCCACCAATGTTTGTTGTACTCAAAATTATACGACGTGTTTTTGGCTGAAGTACGAAAATGCACATTGCAGTATAGTAGGCAATAGTATCTTTAGGCCTACTATAAGGATCAACTGCAATAAGCAATGCCTGTCCTGGGAGCTACGTTAAGGTATCCACATGTCTTCCAGTTCAATTTTTGTTTGACCTTTTAAGCTTACTGTGCTATGTAACTAATATTTGGTCACTTGATACAGGTTTTGCTGTAATAATACGTAGTAGTGTTGTACGACCTTTGTTCTGAGGATCTCAAAATGTTTTTCAGACATAAGTCAGTTAAGTGTCACACCACTTAGGCACAGAGAAGTTGAATAGCTTGGCAAAAGCATTATAATGAGTCAGTAGAAGTGCTGGAATGGAACCTACGTGTTCCAATGTTTATTCTGTTCTAATCACTAGACTGCACTGCCTCCCTCCTGGAACAAACAGCTAACAGTTATTTATTCTAGGCAAAATGAGGAAAGTAAAAATTTCCTATACTTCCCTTTCTTTAAGGCATCAAAATTAATTCTTCAAATCAAATTAAAATACACAGGTTTGTATGTCTATGAAAACTAGAGGCCAATTTAAAATAAAATAATTACACCAAAGCACTCACTGGGAGAACTTCCCCAAAAGACCAAACTTACTGAAGCTATTTGAGCCCCATATATTAGTGTTAGGTGGCTGCTTTTAACTTGGATATCACCAATTTAATTTTAAATGTAGTGAAAATTACAAAATTACACGTTTACAAAATTGGAGAGGAAATTATCTTAATAGAACTCCAAGAAACTTAGTGTGTGTGTGTGTGTGTGTGTGTGTGAGAGAGAGAGAGAGAGAGAGAAACACTTATATATAGGTTTGGGAGGATTATATTTTTATTGGTAAATGTCAGTAAACATCGACTTCACTGTACACACAAATTAATGAACAAATATTTCCATTGACAACAATCTAAATACACAGATAGACAAAGTAAGAAAAATGCTTTTTGAAAACTTAGTAGAGTAAAAATCCAGTGATTTAGAGTAGACTTTCGTATTCAGCTTGTTGTGAATGACGAGTAAAAACAGATACCATTTGTTGATTTAAGGCTATTTACTTTGTATATTTTGACATGTGCTGTTGACAATTTGTGTGAATGATTTAAAAAGCTTTAACTTTTTGAATCTGTCTACGGTCATTAAATAATTAACTGTGCCCCCCCCCCCCCGCCATAATTTCCCACAACTGTGAGTTCCATGATTTATTTTGCATTATGTAAAAGAGTACATCAGACTTCTAGTTATTGCCTTTGAATTTCATTGGGCTTTCGTACTCAGGTACGCAACCTTGCTTCATAGCTTATTCTGAAGATGTCAGAGAAAATTGAGGACTTTTCAGTTATGTTCAAATAATTCACTGAATTGTTTCAGCTCCATTTTGTGCAGTTGGCAGTCTCAAGAATCAGAGCTGCTGTTTCAGCTCTGTGTCAAAACACTGAGAATTATTAAGGTTCCACCAAGCACTGACCTGACATAAAACTACAGCCAAGTTGTCTAACCTGGAAGAACGGTCCCATTACACTGTTCCAGCCCTTTAATCCAACATAAAGCAGCTGGACTAGGAGAGACAATCTTGTCCTAATTTTTATTATGATCATTAGACTAATTCATTTCATTTCAATATAATATTCCAAAATAAAATGATACTCATCTGTACTGTTCTACAGACCTAAGCTTTGAGTGCACTGAAGCCCACCCATGTAGCTACATTCATTGGGGATGTCACGGGGCAGCGACTCACCCTGCAGCGCCTCCTGTCGGTCATCCAGGGAATTAGCGCTTCCAGCCTCCGGAGCGCCCTCTGCAGGCCGGTATCCCGCTTGCCACTGGGCCCGAGTCCCTCCTGGACCCCGGTGCCTTTTTCAGGCCAGGTGCTGCCGCCTGGCAGTACCCCCACAGATCTAGGTCTCCCCTCCCCAGGGAACCCCTACCCTCTATCCCCACCTCATCTCAGTCTATGGCCACTGCCAGTCATCACCTAGCCCCCGTTCCCTGGGGCAGACTGCAGTGTAAGTGCCACTCATCACCGGCAAGGGGGGTTTGGACCTGCTGCCTTGGCTTACCCTGGGCTGCACCTCTGCAACCCCAGTACCCTTCCTGTCCTTTCATCAAAGGCCTGCAGCCTGGGGGTTTTCCAGACTGGAGCTCCCCCGGCTCCTCTAGCCTTTCCCCCAGCCCTGCTCCACTCTAGGTACTTTGCTCTGCTCCCAAGCAGCCAGAGAAAGACTCCTCTCAGCTCCTGGCTTCACTGGCTTTTATAGGGCCAGCTGCAGTCTGATTGGGGCATAGCCCAGCTGCGGTTGCTTCCCCAATCAGCGAGCCTTTAGCTCACAGCCCCAGCCCTCTCCCAGGGCTGGCTTCAAGCCCTTTCAGGGCAGGAGCGGGTGACCATCCCGGTACAGGAAACTACTGGAAAACTGCAGAACATATTGAAATATTATCCTGGGTACTTTTCACTCTTAGAAAGAGATTACAATAATGATTAGAAGGAGGGGAAATAGTCACCTACATTTCAAAAATAAAGAGAAAATCCCACATCGGCTACCATAACTTTTCTTCTGTAATAGCCCTCAATCACTCCCTTCTATCTTTGCATTTTCATCTTCTTCCTTTCTCATGTCCCTTACATTTACAAATGTCTCCCATGCCAATTTGTCTTTCAATTTCCTCTTCAAACACATACTTCTTCCACAAAGCCTTGCTTTCAGCACTGCTCGCTCCCCAAGATCTGCTGTGCTGCACATTGGAAACATCATCCAGAGAGTTTGTATCTGAACAGAACTGTGTGTCAGAACTAGGGCCCAGATTTACAAAGGTATGTAGGCACATAAAGAGGGAGGTGGGATTCACAAAGAGGGTACCCATAAGAGGGTAGGCACCTAACACCCATTGAGCACAGGAACAGGGCCCATCTCCTCAAAGATATTTAGGCACATAACCTACTCACATACTTTTGTAAAATCCCAAAGGCACCTATTGGCATTTTTCAGCACCTAAATAACTATGTAAATATGGTGCAAGGGTGCCTATTCTGCAATGTTTCCAGTACAGGTGTAGAGATCCACTTACATAGAGTTCTGGGCAGCCCTGGGGCCTTCGACTGTAAGCTGCTAGAGAGCGGGACCGTGAGTTCTTCCACGTTTTCACAGTGCCAAGCACACTGACGGACTCAATATATATATATTTTTTAAAACTCAGGTATTCCTGCCATTCAAATTGGTCCTCGTCGCTATCAAGTCACAAATGACTGACTGTCCTTACCCTGAGTGAATGGGAACTATTCTTAAAAAGTTGCAAATGTCTATGTACCCACTGTAAGTGCAGCCAAATAACATGAACCTGACGAACTGGACTTGGCGTTCTGAGCACGTGTGACAAAAGCAATTAAAATTATCTTAGGGTTGCATTATCTTAGAGATGCATACCAGCATATATAAATCAGGAGGAGGATCTCCTGGATGCCTCTAAAGTTCCTCGTGACACTCACAAGCCTTTTGAAGACACCAATGACATATCAAGGTATGAATTTGGTGCACGTGTTGTTAGTATTCATTCTTGTTCATCCGAAAGACTTGACCCAGTGGGCAATGGAAGTGAGCTGACTTTAGGGAATTCATAAGAGTACATTCATTTGGGAGCTCACAAAATATTAAAGCCAGTTCTCCAAGTCTCTCTCTTCTGGAAAGGCCATTTTGCATCTTGTTTCCCAAGTAGTTCCTTCTTGTCAGCATTCTGCTGCTGCTAACATTTCTCCTTCTTCCCCATCCAGCTTCCTACTATCTTAGATCCTTATCCAAAATGGCTTGCAGAGCAGAACTTTCAGATGTCCATTTGAAGAAGGTGCTGCAGCAAATGAGAGAAATACATTAGGCAGTCCCATCTCTAGCCATAGATGATAAAACCAGTCACTGGGTGACATTTGAAAACTGTTTTAAAATGGACTATAGCAGCACATTGAGACATTACTGTTAAAAATTTCAGCACAAGAAATATGTTCTTTTTCTCAAGCTAATTACTTGGCTACAAAAGATTGGATCCAGATAGATTAGCAGTCAACCTGTGAAACAATTTCTCTTTATATAAAAATAAACATACACACATTGTCAATTTTTTTTAAGACTACGAGGGAAAACAAAATTCTAACCCATTTAGAAAACCAATTTCTGCTCATACAACTGAACTCACCCCTCTCTTGCCAATTCACTCATTCTCATGTGTTTCTCTGTGTGTATAGATTTTATATATATGATTAAGATCTGTGATATGGGCTTGGGGATTTAGCCACATGTATCCATTCAGTGGGTGTTGTGGCTAAATTCTGTAGTTGGCTTTGAAAATCTCTATTATATATATTTTAGACATACATGTTAAAATAAAATGGTGCCTATCTGTATGCTCTTTGCACTTACAGAGATTAGAATAATTAGATATAATGAAGAGAGAGTGGTGTATACATGTTGTATGTGTGTAACATATATTGTGTGTTTTATCAGCATGAGTTGTATAGCGAAAGTAAATAAGGAAGTGTTATTTACTCCTTCTCATAATACAAGAACAAGGGGACACCAAATGAAATTAATAGGTTTAAAACAAACACAAGAAAGTATTTTTTCACGCAACACACTATCAACCTCTGGAACTCCTTGCCAGAGGATGTTGTGAAGACCAATACTATAACAGGGTTCAAAAGAGAGCTAGATAAATTCATGGAAGATAGGTCCATCAATGGTTATTAGCCAGGATGGGCAGGAATGGTGTCCCTAGCCTCTGTTTGCCAGAAACTGGGATTGGGTGTCAGGGGATGGATCACTTGATGATAACCTGTCTGTTCATTCCCTTTGGGGCACCTGCCATTGGCTACTGTCAGAGGACAGGATACTGGGCTTGATGGACCTTTGGTCTGACCCAGTATGGCCGTTCTTCTGTTCTTATGAGTCTCACATGTTTTGAAGCCACCTGTGAGTTAGTCCAGTCATCCCAAATGAATCCGGGTTGTAGTACAGGAATTTCAAGTTTGCATCACTAGTGGCCTTCTTTTTCGGTTGTCCAGGTTGAGGTGATACAGGCGAAGTGTTGGGGCCAATACTAAGGATGTGTGAAGTGTGCAGTCATAACTAATGCCCTGGTCACTCTGGTCATCTTATGTCTACGAATCTAAACTGTCCCCTTTTCCATTGACTTTTGCCATTTTTCTAAAAAGAGGGAGGTAGGAATAGAGAGGGTAGCAGATAGCCCATAGTGAGAGGCAGGGAGGCTCAATTGCAGCTGGAGGAGATGACACATTCTAAGGAATGGTGCCTCTCGAATCAACATGTCATAAGATTGACTCTGGGAAGCACGCTCAGCTCCCGGGGCGGGGGAGGGTAATGACTCTTACAAGCTCCCTTGTATGGAAGGCAGGGCAAAACAGCAACGTTTATAAAATCTGTTAGACAAAATTAGTCCCACTGCTATTGCAAACCCCTCTCACAAATCTTCTCAACTGCTGTCTTCAGATTATTTGCTATAATGTGAACAGATCCTTTTGTACACACAAACTCCACTGACTTAATGGGAATTTTGGGTGGGCAAAGGAAGTCAGGATAAGGCCCACATTTTGTTTCCCATCTTCTCTTCATTAAAAAAGTTAATAGAGAATAAGGCCCAAATTTGGGTGTCTACGATTAGGCTCCTAAATCAGCACCTAAAATAAATGGCTCGTTTTCACAGCTGCTGAAAATTCCCTGCGACTGCCATTGAAATCAATAGGAAGTGCTCAGCAGGGCTGCTGAGAGCAGGTTCAAGCCCCGGTGAAAAAAATTTTTCGGGCCCCCCAGCAAAGGTGGACCGGCTAATCAGGGACGACGAGGTGGGGGAAAAGCCGGGCCCCGGGCCCCCTTCCGGACCGCCAGGCCCTGGTAATTTGTCAAACCTCCCCCCCACCCCCCGCCCCCGTTGGCCCTGGTGCTCAGCGCCTTTGAAAATCAGCCCACTTCTACTGGATTTTGGAGCCTGAATTTAGGCATCCAGCTTTAAAAATGCTGGCAAAGTTCTTTTAAAAAACCAAATGCAACCACTATCCCTCATTTGTTCTTTTGTGACGGGGCGTAGAAACATTCTTCAAGGCAATGTTTAAGGCTATCTTAAAGCCTTAAGCCACTTCCTTTATTAACAAGCTGATTAAAAAAGGGGGAGAGAAACTTTCATGACACCCCCAGGCTTCTCTTTATCATTTTCAGGACATCTCTTCTTTATGAGCATAGATGCTTTCCTCTAGTTTATTCTAATCTGCCAAAGGAAAACAAGCTGTCCCAGTGACAGCTTTTTTTAGGCTAGAAACTACTATTTTTCTCTCTGGTTGCAGAGCTGTGCACTTGCTGAATGAGAGAAGCAGGGTATTTGTCATGTAAAATCTACAGTTTCTGGACTTTCTATTATTATTATGCTTTACCCCTTGTTTTGGCTCAGGAGCAAAACCACAGTGATTGGACAATTATGGGGGGGGGAGCCTGTCACAGACCCTTGCAATTGTCTGTGTTCCCAAACCTCTGAAATGCTCCAGGCCTTTCAAAATCACTCACATACAAGGGAAGCAATGTAGAAAAGGGCTCTGTTCTTTTAACCAGAACATTCCAGTGCCTACAGGACACTTTCCATTGAAATGCATAAAAAGTCTCCAATAACTCTTGTAATTCTAAGAAATCTCTGGGGTGTCCCCAAAGGCTTAGATTCCCTTCACTTTCTGTATGTGGCTTAAATTCTTCACTTTCCAAGCATATTGCACTTGCCTGAAAGTCAAGTGTTTGTTTTTCCCCTGTTTTTGCAGCCTTCTCACTTGAATGATGAATAACATTTAATTTGTTTTCCACCCAAATTGGGTCTCATAAACTTCCATAATCTCTCCCCTGTGAACCCTCCCAGAAAATGCACACTGTAAAGTAAAGGGGACAGGACTCTGTTCAGTGCCAGAAAAGAACAGTCAGTTACCCTACAGTAAACACTGGTTCTACAAGATGGTGTAAGCAGTGGGGATCCCAGGGTAGGTTAGCATGCAGAGGAGACCGGAGGTTATTTGACTAGCAGTGCCTATTAGGGCCACACAAGTGCTCTGTGCCGTCTCATGTTCCCATAGAGCACGAGCACATAAAGAGATCCACACTGACACTTACTTGAATAATAGGCAAATCAGAGCTACATGAGATTACCAGATAACTCATTTCACTAAGCACGGCTTATTCCCTGACTCCTCCCAATGGGCCTGATTTTCCAGTGAATGCAGCATCTGCTGAGTGCAGTACAAGAGGGTGCTGTCAGGGAGCCAGTTATGGCTATCTGATTTTCTGCCTGCCCTGGCACAAGGCACAGATTAGACAGCCTAGGGGCTGAACCCATTGGCCATGGTCCCCTAGGAATTGCCAACCAGCTGAAAATAGCTACAGTTCATCACAGTACAGCTACTCCCCCACCCCTGAAATGCCCTTTGTGCCAGAGATTGTGGGGAGAGGAAAGCAGATGAGTCAGCTCTTGGGCTTCACGCGGTGGGTATCCTCAGCAGGGAGGCTGCGGCCAGTCTCTGCTTCCTTTGCACTGCCTGAGTGCAGAAAGAGAGGCGGGGGGGGGCAAGAATTAGACCCACTAATTCAGCAAATTATGTGTCACAGCTGGACCCAGCTTGCTCTGTAAGCCTCACCTACTTATTGGTCTACCTGTTACAAATGAAACCAAGCTGTCAAATCATGTCATCAAGAATTAGGAGGTTTTCATTTTATCGTTTTATTCTTGTGTGTTAATATGTTTATTTCCTCACCACTATTTTGTCCTAAAATCTTCTAAGATCCCAGATAAATCTAAGATGAGATTCACCATTAATGTCTGAAGAAGTTAATGGGCTGCTTGAGACCGACTCCACGGCTAGGTACAAAATTTGCCAAACTCCCGAAGAATCATTCTACGAGAGAGAGAATCCTTTCTTCAAAGAGACGGAACTATCAGGACCGCAATTAAAGCCCAGTCACAGTCAGAAAAGTGACTGCAAAAATAACATTGTGCAGTTGCATATTCAGTCCCTCTCCATGCTGTCCACATCAAATGTGTTCATTTTACAAGTCAAAAAGAGCTGACTACCAGCTCTGCAAACTCCCCCTGGATCTGAAAAACAGGCTGTGTATTTCTCTGCCTCTTCTTACACTTCCAGTAATAAAGATTCCACAATCAGAGCCTCACTGATAATCGTGTTGATGATGCGTGTAGCTGAAAAGAATGTAGCTCACTCTTCCATAAATGTGCTGGCTTCGCATTACTAACAGTAGTAAAAACTTGTTTTTGTCAGTCGAGTAAGCTGGCATATGGTTTAAACTGGACGGCATTGGGTACAGCAGGCATTTAGTTTAAAAAAGTGTGGAAAATCCATGTGCAAGGGAAAAATCCCTGGGAAATTTTCATCCCTGTGGATCTATTTATTCAGGGATCAAGCTTTTCTAGAATATGGCCTGGAGGCAGGGCCGGTGCAAGGAAGTTTCGCGCCCTAGGCAAAACTTCCACCTTGCGCTCCCCCCCAACCTGCGGCAGCTCCCCGCCCCCCTCCACTCTGAGGCACACCCCCCCACGGCAGCTCCCTCCCCTGCCCTGAGGCGCCCCTCCCTCCCCCCCCCGCGGCAGCTCCCCCTCCGCCCTGAGGCACCCCGGCCCGGGGGATCCGTGCGGCAGCTCTGACCCAGGGGTTCCCCTGGGCTGCCAGCGGCGCACTGACCCAGGGGAACCCCTGGGCTGCCTGCCGGCGGCTCAGACTCCCTCTCCCTCCCAGCACAGCGGCCGCTGTTAAAAAAAAAATTGGGGGAGCCACTTTTTGGCGCCCCCAAATCTTG